TACAAGCTCCGAACTATTTAAATTGAGAAAAGAAATTGGTAGAAGTGAAGAATGGCTGTACTTGTTGACAAAAATTGAAGAGGATAAACTTTCCTGGCATGCTTTTGATCCCCTGTCAAGAATGTGGCAGAGGCTACCTCAGATGCCCAATGCAGTTTATGAAGAAGAATACAGTAAGGGTTCTTCTAGGTTTTCGATGTGGAATATGGTGGGCCCAAGTCTCAAAATTGCTCAAACTATTAGAGGCTGGCTAGGGAGAAAGAACTCGTTTGAACAAATGCCATTTTGCGGTAGTGCCATTGGTGCTGTTGATGGATGCCTTTATGTTCTAGGTGGATTTTATAAAACTACGACCATGAGGTGTGTCTGGAGATTTGATCCAATTCAGAATGCATGGAGTGAAGTGACAGCCATGTCTGCTAGTAGGGCCTATTGTAAGACAAGCATTCTGAATAATAAATTGTATGTTGTTGGAGGAGTTAGTCGGGAACGAGGTGGATTGATCCCCCTTCAGTCTGCCGAAGTTTTTGAGCCCTCCACTGGTACGTGGTCAGAAGTACCAAGCATGCCATTCTCAAGGGCTCAAGCCTTGCCCACTGCCTTTTTGACTGACATGCTAAGGCCTATTGCCACTGGGTTGACTTCCTACATGGGAAGACTATGCGTATCCCAGAGTCTGTATTCATGGCCCTTTTTTGTTGATGTTGGGGGAGAAATCTATGATCCCGAGACAAATTCTTGGGATGAAATGCCTCTTGGCATGGGAGAGGGTTGGCCTGCTCGGCAGGCAGCTACAAAGTTGAGCATTGTGGTAGATGGTGAATTGTATGCTTTTGATCCTTCGAGTTCATTGGATAGTGGTAAGATCAAGGTGTACGATCAAGGAGAAGATGCTTGGAAAGTTATTATAGGAAAAGTCCCTATTCATGACTTTGCTGGTTCAGATTCTCCATATTTACTTGCTGGTTTTCATGGAAAACTTCATGTCATCACAAAAGATGCAAATCATGAAATCGCAGTTCTGCGTGCTGACCTGTGCAGTAATTTGGGTTCTTTGTCACCAAGATCAACTTCTCTCATGCCTAGCTCCTCGCATGAACATTCCAACACTGTGGCAGAATCAGACGCAGTTATGTGGAAGGTCATTGGGACGAGGGATTTTGGTTCAGGTGAATTGGTTGGTTGTCAAATTCTTGATGTTTAGCACAAGGCTGAGAATCCCTTCTTTGAATCTATTCAAGCGAGCTGTATGGCGCGTGAAGATCGAGTTGAGTTGATAAGTGGTGCACTTTGCATATATAAGCACATGCTTATAGTTTTCAGTTCTGGTAGGTTATAGTATATAGTAAATTATAAGAATAATGTATGCTGCCCTCGACATTGAATTTTCCTAACTTGGTGTCCATTTTGCTCGATAATGTACCACGGTGAAAAGGAAAAGGAAAAAGGTCATGTAAATTTGATTGAATATTATTGTACAACTATAGACAGTACATTTACTGTATACGTATTGCTTGTAAAAGTGAACGAAAATAAAGTACAGTTGCTGCGCTTGCTTAGTCCATTGTTTTCGGGTACATTATCTGTATACTGCTTCCATACCGGCAACGAGCATTCGTACTTAGTATTTTATAAAATCCTCTTCACATTGCAGAGTTAGAATTGTGTTTCTTCTGCAGAAATAAAGGGTATTTAAGAGGGTATTCATGGTATGATATGTCTGATAACATTGATATCAATGCTTGCATAGTCACTTTTGAATGAGGAACAATAACTGAAAGCTATAGTCTTATCTACATTAGCTGCCATCAAAGACTTTCAGTTTAATAAAGCATCGTTGGGTTGGGCGACTGACAAGATACAACCGCATTTACAAGTTATTCAGGAGAGAGTCTACCTTGTAACCGATTGTATATTTCCTTAATGTCTATCTCCATTATCACGTAACCTAATGAGGTAGAAACGAGGGAATATACAACTAAGAATTGCTAAGGATCTCTTTTTTCGCAGCAGGAGAGTTTTGCACACCATAATTGAGGAATGAGACATGTCAAAAAAATTAAAATGAAAAATGAAAGAAAATAAGTAGTGAGTGCTGGGGCAGCAAACCATGTGAAAAAATCGCTTTCAAAATGCAGGCATGCAATTATGCAGAGGTATATTAGGTTCCCTGATGCCATAATGCAGAATTTGAATATAGTTTTCGAGCAGACCTCGGCCTCCAATACAATCACTGGGAATTGCTTTGTGATTGTTGGAGGTTGGAGCCAGCCTGCAAGTTGTCTGGTTGACTCATTTGTGAGCCTCATTCCAATCCTACACAATCTTAAAGTGTATTCTTCGTCTTCAAAACACAGTTTAACGCATAAAAATAACTTATTAGAAATGTTTCTGATTACGTTTGCTAATAGGATATTGAGAAGATTCCAAGCAAATTCAATAAAAAGTACTTATTAGACAGTATTAAGACACGTTTGGGACTTAATTCTATAAGAAATGATTATAATAATAAGTGTTTTTAATAAAAGTCCTAGAAGTTATTTTACCAAAAACATAGTGAAATTATTATTAAAAATTCAATATTTTATGAAAAAGTAGTTGAAAGTGATTTTTTAAGAAGTATCAATTATATACTTCTTCAAATGTTTTCTATGATTCATACCTGTTAGCAAACGTAATCAGAAACATTTTTAACTATTTCAAAAATAGTCTCAACATGCTCCTAAAATCCTTGATAAGTATCAAAACCCTTTTAAATTTGAACGATGCCTTATTAATTTGAGATTTGACATATTCACTACAATCTAAAGTCCACATTTATCATTTATTTTGTATTGCATGTTTCAAAATATTAGGTGCCGTAGAAAAAGTTTTGTTTGGTATGGTGGTTGCCTTCCATGACTTTGATCTACTTCGGGTGACAATATTGACCAATTCAATAACAACATGACAAATAGTGATGTTGTTACATGCTTTGATGAACCAAGTCACACATGGTCATAGAAAGTTATGTAAATGGATTCTAATTCCCCCATTATTTAACATTCTCCATCATTTTTTTATTACTAAAAGTGGAGAGAGATTCATCTACATCAACTCAATGATTTGAAGAATCATGCTACATAGTTATCTAAATGGAAAATGACGATCGTTCAAATATTTTTTTTTTCTTATACGTTTCTGATTAATTATGTTTTGCTTTTTAATTTATTTAATTTGATAATTAAAAATAAAAAAGAGCATGTTAAAAAAGTTAATATGTGTGATTGTCGTTTCTCTTTTCTAATACATGCTTTGAAAAATGGTGCCAAGTTGCCAACGACAAATGGCAATTAGGCAGAAGGATTTTAGGACAGACAAAATTCACTAGCATCCAACCAAACAAAAACAAAGCCAAACAAGCATAAGCAAGTGGCCTGCCTGCGCCTGCCGCCGCCGCCGCCGCCGCCTTCAACTTACAGATATTAATACAGCTAATTAGAAAAAGACATTTACTTAACAATTATCTGATTCAAAGGCCAGTTTACATTTCTGACCAGGTCCTGTTTGGTTTACTTCCTTTTTTTTTTTTTTTGATAAACGATATTATCTATACTAAAAGAGAGAGAGAGTGTGCTTAGCCTCATAATGAGCTAGCAATAATGTGCTTCAAATTCGCCTTTAGCGAGAACCGAACTTAAGACCTCTCACTTACAAGTGAAGAAGAATATCATTAGATCGTAGTACTAAGTAGCGTACTCCCATAAATTAACCACTCTTATTTACGAAAAATAATTTTTAGACGGACCAACACACTCGTGCCAAAATTATGCTATTATTATTGATTTGGCCACAATTAAGCATTAAATTCATCATAAATGTATTATTCGCATTCATGTGAGTCAAATTTGAACAATCTAATCTAACTAAAGTGAAGACATCTATCACTAATAAAAGACTAATTATCAATCACAAGTGCTTACTTGTTCTTATTCTCGTATTATTCTAGTCTTGATTATAGTTCTCATTAACCTAATGCAATTCATGAAAGGAGAAGAATCTACAATTTTGAATGTATCTAGACAGGAAAACAATCGACTAGTAAGTATCCTCCTATCATTCAATTATTATTTCATTATTCATATACCCTAGTGTCAAGATTTTAAAACTAATTATTTTCAGCTTATTTTAGTCGAAAGACAATTGTATCATAACATTCAATTTCTATTTAATTAACATTTAGTTTCCTCTACAAATTGGGTTTAGTTAAGTTGATTAGAGTTATGTGCTCCCATTTCTGCACGTCAATTCGAACCCCATTTCCTGTAATTTAAAATAAGTTTGTAAAAAAGAAAAGAATCTACTTTGCTTGAATGACATTCAACCTCAACTTCAACGAATTGTGCATAACTTCAAATTAGATAGATGACGATTGTTGATTAATAAAAATATAATCCTACTAGTCAAGGAACAAAAATGCTAAGGAGACTCTTAAAAGTAGGATTCTTTATGGACTCTCAACCACCTTATGTTTTTAGCACAATAATTTATAATATTGACATGAATTAACGTTAAACTGTAAAGTGACAAAAAATCCATAGAGCGTTCTACTTTCTTAACATTTCTCCAACCATCAATTACCAAAAACTACATCCAAACATGCCATAAAAAAGTCTAAAGTAATTTTGTTAATACAAAGATAAGACATGGGCAATTATGTAATCACACGTCTATGACTGAGAAACTTCTGTTAATTCAGGTGAAAAATCTAGCTCAGATCGTTTTAGGCTACTTTCTTAATTTCTACATCAAGCAATTCAAAGGAGCTGTCTTCTTCTTCTTCTTCCTCTCTCTGTCTATCCAGATTTCTAATCTCACTGCCCTTTGGGTTCCCATCACCAAGAACTTTGGTTCTTTTTTACTGCAACTTCAATACAAAGCTTTGCTTTTTGGATAAAAAGCTTGCTTCTTTCATGGGTATATGAGCTTTGACTCTTCTGGGTTTTAATCCAAGTGTGAATCTTGATCAGATTTGATCTGGGTTTCTTTGTTTATGCCATTTGTGGAGGTTTTAATCTGGTTCTTGGAAAGTGGTCTGAGAAATTGAGAGGTGGGGTTTTGCTGGATTGGAAGGTTCATCAATGGCGGCAGGTCAAGATTTGATTGAGCTGAAATTCAGGCTAATTGATGGGACCGACATAGGACCACAGAAGTATAGCCCATCTACCACTGTACAATCACTCAAGGAGAAAATACTGGCACAATGGCCTAAAGGTTTTTTTTTTTTTTTTTTTTCTTTTTATCCTAATTAATTCTTCTGTTAAATTTGTGTTCTTTTTATTATTTATTTTATGTTGCTGCCGAACCTATATTATTTAAGGTTCTTTTTCTTTTTATATGATTTGGGTTGGGATTCTTGAGAGCTTTTCTGCATCTTCTCGTTCTACATATCACATTATTTTTTATGATTATTGGCCAAAATTGTTGACATAAGATAATGTTTATGTATTGAAAATGCTGTGAGGAAATTGTTGTTGCTTTTATCATAGTTGTTGTGCCATTATCCGAGAAATTTGAGGCTCTAACTATGTCACTCAGTGTTGATATGATCTCATGTAACGGCTTGAAATCCATACAAATGAATTATGACGGAGTTCTTAGTCGTTCTAGAAAGTGTATGTTCAAGTTAGTCATATGTTTATGGATAATGTTTTGAGTGTACTTGTTTGTTACTGCATTAGAACATATGACTAACTCCTAAAGATGACGAACTTGAGCATAATCCAAAAACAGAATATTGATAAAATTAGTCAGGTGACGGAGTTCTTAGTCGTTCTTGAAAGTGTATGCTCAAGTTAGTCGTATGTTTTTGGAAATTGTTGTTGCTTTTATCGTAGCATATGTTATGAAAGTGTATGCTTAAGTTAGTCATAGTTGTTGCATATATGTTGCTGATGTCGGAAAATAGACATATCATGTGTTTGCCTCTTGCACTGAGCAAACAGAATATTGAAAAAATGCAAACATAGCCTATATTTTGACAAAAGTAATGAAACTTAGGTTGCTTTATGATCGCACCATTGTGATTTGCTTTGAGATTGACTTATAATTTTCTTATGTAATGTAATCTGTTTGATAGAGAAAGAAAATGGTCCACGGACAGTAAATGATTTGAAGCTTATTAATGCGGGAAAGATACTGGAAAACAACAGGACACTTGCTGATTCCAGAAATCCAGTTGGAGAACTACCAGGAGGTCTCATCACTATGCACGTGGTTGTGCGTCCTCCGATCACAGACAAAAAGAATGGTAATTATGTTTATGTTTTACAAGATGCAGTTTTGTTTTTCTTTCAGCCTGAATATTTGCAGTTATGTTGGAATCTTGGATATATCCTATAGAACATGCTCTTTGTTGAATTGTTACCTTTACTATAGTCTCTTCCCCTAAGTATCCGACATCTTGGTAGTTTTCATGAGTGTTGAACCCCATTTAGCAATCGATTTTATTAAGACATAATTATTATGCATCAATCTCTTATGAACACAGCTCTTTCTGAGCAATAACCAACAAGGTGTCTTGTTTCTGATTCATCTCGATTTCTTGACCCTCAGCACACATGCTAGATCTGGATTCAGTATTACGTCAATAACTAATTTCTCATGCTACTTCTCGTAACTGCAGTTTCTTAATGACATGTCACAATAGGCTCTTTTCCATTTGTTTTTCTTTCGTATGCTTTCTCATTAACTGAGAAAACGTGTTGTCTCTCGTAATAGATCCAAGTTCCAACCAACACAAGAGGCTCATTTTCATTTCGTCTTTATTTTGTATGTTTTTTTCTAAACTGAACCTCAATATTCCCCACCCCCACCCCCCCCCCCCCCCGGGGGGGTTGTATATCTTGCCTTGTTAGCTTTTCCAGTTTGCTGTCATTCTGCTATTATGTATAACAATATCCATAGATTGATCCCCCTTTTCAATAATTTTTAGTAGATGAAATTATGGAACTAAAAATTCTGGCTAGCAGAAATGCATACGAATTTTGTAATATGAGACACTTTGACGTCAATGTTACGTAATGCTTAGATTTAGGATTATGTTAACAAAACAAAAGAATAAGGTTCCGGTCACACGAGAATTGACAGTTGCATTTTTCTACAGATAAGTTGATCAATGATTCTCCAGAGCAGCCTCGATGTTCATGTTCAATATTGTAGCTTCTGGTAACCAGCTTCGCGACTGTTAGTGTTTTCCGTGTCTTCTCGTGTTGCTGATTGGATGCAGTTTAAATCTCTGTTCCCGGGCGGTCACAAGTAGCAGCAAGAAGTTCGTGGATCCATCTGCCAGACTTGTTATTTTGAATCTTATCATCTCCGTATGTAAAACACGTTATAGTTCCTTATTGCGTGTGATTTGTTAATGAGAAAAGGACCATATTGATGCATTAGGAGCTGCTTCTGGTTTGCTGGCATCAATGAATACAAGTGTAAATGAAAAAAAAAGCAGACGAACATATTGATTTGATTGATTTGCGAGTTTATTGGAAAGCAGAATTCGTGTTTTATTGGTTCGAGAGCAGTTTATTTATTTATTTATATTTTCACCTGTAGATTTTAATGTACATATTCAAGATGATATTCCTTGGTATATGCTTTTTGCAAACGATATAGCATTGATAGATGAAACTTAAGAGGGAGTAAATGCAAAGCTTAACCTTTGGCGGGGAGTGTTGGAATCTAAGTAGGTCAAAGACAGAGTATATGGAGTGCAAGTTTAGTGAGGGAACGGAAGTTCAATGAGTTAGGGGTAAGGAATGGAGATCAAGAAGTACCAAAGAGGGAACGCTTTCGCTATTTTGTAAAAGAACATAAAATTGCATGGAGGCCTTGACCACAGAATACAAGTTGGATGGATGAAGTGAAAGGTTGCGTCGGGTGTGTTGTGTGATCGTTGTATGCCACTAAGCTCAAGAAAAATTATATAGGACAACAATAGGCTAGCAATACTTTATGACACAAAATGTTGGGCGATCAAGTATTAACACGTACACACAATAAGTGTGGCAGAGATGAAAATGCTTCGTTGAATGTCTAGACACACCAAAAAGGATAGGATTAAGAACGAGGATATTCGAAGTAAAATAGGAGTAGTCGAAATTGAAGATAAGATGAGAAAACATCAATTAAGGGTGGTTTGGACATGTAAAACAAAAACCTACAGATACTCCGGTTATAAGATACAATTACGAGACAGATGCTCGAGATCAAATGGGTTGAGCTATCTAGGAAAACTTGGAAGGGGACTTTAAGAAAAGGCTTGAAGTACTTGGATCTAATGGAAGACTTGGCACAAAATTAAGCATAGTAATGTTCTAGGATGCATACAACTGGGCCCACTTAGTAAGATAAGGCTTTGTGATTGTTGTTGTAAATTTTATTGTACGTATCACTGCATTTGTTCCGAACTATTTAAATTTTCATCTAGAATGTTCTTAACCACTTGAGATACGTGTTCGTTGCAAGTTTCATCCCCTCCCACATGAAATTGGTATGGAGAAGGGATGTGGGAAAAAGATGCTTTTTTATTTTTATTTTATTTTTTATGTTTAAATATAAATGACAAAATCTTTGATTCACTATACAGCCGAACTACAACATATTCCCCCAGCAACCCAAAAATGAAGGGTTCATAACAGGGTTCTGTACCTGTGATACTATAAACCAGTTACACAGACCAGCAGAGGTTTCTATTTACATTGCTGCTGAGATTTCAATACCACATTTCAACATCGTAAAGTTTCACCACCAGCGGCTAACTGGTCCATACATTATTCACCTTTCACATGTACGATAACATGACGCAGCAAGGCATGTCGGACCATCAATTCTCAGCCCCGTAAACGGCTATTTCTTCGCAAGCAAGAATGGATGGCTACGGTGACTATTACGAAGGGTCTAGAAAAGGGGATGTTGAGGAGCAATTCAAGTTCAGGGCTTTCTTTGACGCTCGGACATTCTTGAGAGTCATCATTAGTTTTTGTCTCTCCCCTTCGACCTCTGCAAATTGAAGGCTTAACTGGGAGTAACGGTCATGCATGTCTTTGAGTTCTGTTTCCACGGTAGCATATCTTCCCTTAATCTCCAGCATGTCTTTAATTAGCTCGTTGATGTCTCTAAAGCTGTGAAACACTGCTTCCTCGTCACTGTGTTGTTTCGCGAAAGAACTGGAACAAGGGAGGATGGCATGTTAATTATTGAACTCAAAAGAAATTGCATGCCTAGTTTCTGCTAATTTTCAAATAATCACTTTTTCCCCTAAAGGTCCAAAAACCAATATATGAGTACATTATGAAGTTCTTCTGGTTTATAATTGTACAAATTTAGCATCCCGTGCAAACCCATAATACACCAAAGCTGGAAAGAAATTACCAGTGACCGCTGCAAAGGTTTTAGTTGACATGCATCTAAAGTCTAATCACGAAATTGATACTTTACTCAGTTAGATGTACCTTTGAAACTGGATAATTGATTTCTTCTTTGCCCGCAATGCTTCAGCAAGTTCAATTTCCAAAGCTAGCACCCTCTCTAATGCATTGCCACTGGAAGAAAATTCGTTGAATGAGGGAAATATGTTTCCCAATTCTTCATTTGCCTAATCAAAGATCCGAAACATGAAGTCAGTTCAAGGACATGCTTATACGAAACATGATACAGTTCAAGGACACGCTTATATTATAAGTTGTAAGGATCACAAAGTTATTGACCTTGTTTAATTGCATAATCTCTCTTTGTAAACCAGGAAAATTTGGGTCAAGGTGTTGATCATCGATTGGAAGAAGCAAATTTTCATGTTTCATCCTTTCCAACTGCAAGAAGATCAATACAGATTAAAAAAAAAAATATGCTGCAAAAGAAAATTATATCTCAGGAGCTAGATTCTAGAAACGATGTTGAGAAATTATTATCCAGTTCCTGCTCCCCAACTTGAGAAGATAAACTGTAGCAACACAAAAGTATTTGCTCACTTGTGTTTGTATGAAATACATACCTCCTTATCTAAGTTTTCCATGCTAGACTTTAAGCTTTGGGCCTTAAAATTCTCGTTAGCAAGAACCAAATGCTTCATGTCGCTATTAAGAGTATCCTTTTGCTTTGAAAGTACAATACTAGAGATCCCATTTACACCTCTGGATACAAGATCATCCTGTCCAATGATGCACGTATATTGTCAACGACCAAAATTTCAGTATATAAACATGTAAAATAAAACAAAGTAAACCTTTTCTTTGGGAGAAATGACTATCCTATTCCTCTGCTGGAGATAGGCGGACTTCAAAATTTTGAAGCCTAAGCAAATCAATTACCAGTCATGCAGAAATTATTATCGCCTCTAGGAGAACTCTATGTAAAGTTCGAAGAGGCTACTAGAATAAGCATACATAATCAGCAACACAAGAAGTACGAGCTATGAATAACACATTCATAGCCAACTAGGCAGCCATATTGTAAAGATTGTACTTATACTATTCTGAGTTGACCTAATGTACGACTTCTTTCATAATTAGATTTCACCATTATTTCATGGAAACGTTGACAACTTTAATTGTGAACAAGGAGTTTAAACCTTCGAGGACTGATAAAAACTGGTAGTACCAAAGTCAACATGGAGTGCTTTGACTTTCACTCCAGTGGTGATACTTTCTAGGAAATGTGTTTAAGGTGAAAGCAGGGAACGTGAACTGTGTAAAGAAAGGCTAGCACTAAATGAAATAGGAGTGCTATTAGTTAGGTAATATTTGGAGCAGCAACTCACTGAGGCACTGTCAACTGGTATAGTAAGAACTATAACTTCAGATGAACCATCCGAACTCACTATGATGGAAAAGGTAGAAAACCATAGCAAACTGAAAGCACGTCTTTAGAGAGGGCAGAATGAAAAGGCAATCTTTGTTCACTTTCCCAGAACTTAATGGAAAATACTAACATGCATAACGTATATGAGCTAACATAAGCGTCTGGGTGCTACACATTTGCACAATGAATTAGAGGTATCAAGGGAGCAAATTACTCTAATATAGATAATCCTCATAAAAACAGTTAATTACCTGCTTGGAGTTTATATTATTGAATACATTTGACTGGTCTGGTTCATCAATGGAATTCATGCATTTACGCTGAGATGCTTCACCATTGGCTACATCTAGCTCAGAAAACTTAGCTAAAGTTTCCTCTGCTATTCTGCTGCTGTGCAGGCCAGATGCGTCTGCGTCCCTCTGATAATTTATAGATGATGATGTGCTCTCAAGCAATTCCTTTGCTGAGGTGAGTTCTAAAGAAATTTTAGCTTTTTCCCCATTGCACTTCTGCAAAGACGCTTCAAGCTCTTGTTTTTCTTCCTTACAGCACTCGAGGCTTATTAATGAGCAATCCTTTTCAGATTTCATCAGGTCATATGCTTTCATTATTTCACGCTTTTCAGAAAGCACTGAATGTAGGTCAGACTCCAATTCCAATATCCTCATTCCTAGCTCTTCATTTCTCTTCACATTAGTAGCTTCTGATTTCTTCTTGTTCTCAACTTCATTGACTGCATCTTGTAATTTCCAGAGCATCTCCTCACTATGCTTATTGGAAATAGCAAGCTGTTGTTTCAGTTCTTGCAGCTTGGTTTCATATTGTTCTTTGATGAATACAATTCTTAATGACTCTGGCATGGCAGCTGGTGGCCCTCCTGGTTCTTTTTTATCCTGTGCATGGAGCCCCTCGGCATAAGCCTTGTCTTTAAGATCCTTAAAATGGATGGACAAGTTTTTAAACTCTTCCGTCTTTAAGACCTGTTCAGCAACCTTCTGTGTAAGCTCTCTACATCTATCGTGCAGCATTTCCATTTCATCCTTGTATCCTTCCAGCATGGTTATCTGAGCGGACTGTTCATCCAACTTGGCCTTGAGTACTAAAGCTTTGACTTCTAGTTCTTCCTTGGAGAATATCAGGTTATCAATCTCTTCTTCAGATGTCATTAGAAGATGTTCCAGCCTTTCAACCTCAAGAGCAGACTGACTTTTATCTATGCAGACAATATCCTCCGTATTATCAGCTCTTTTATTGTATTCCTCAAGTTCGGTCCTCATTGCACTGTTTGCATCAATAAGTATCCTGTTTTGAGCACTGGAGGCTTCCAACTCAGATTTAAGGGAATTGAGACGTGTCATCAAGTGAGTGTTCTCTTCAAGGTAATGCCTTTTGCTAGCAAGACATTTGTTAAGCATATTATCTACACTAAGGAAATTGTTGCGAATATCAGAAACTTGGCTATCTGAAAAGTGCAGTTTCTGACAAAGCTCTTCAATCACGGCCTCATATTGAGTTTTTGTGAAAGTGAGTCCAACTTCAGCAGCTATTGAAAATTCATGCATTTCAGATAACTGAGCTTCCAAAGCAGAGACTGAAGAACACCTTTCACGAGCATCTTTAAGACACTTCTCAGAATCCAACAGGAGACAGAGAACTCTTGATTTTTCTAGCTCTAGGTCCGATACCAATAGTTTGAGATGGACCAACTCAG